GTGTGTGTGTGTGTGTAGCTTGCAACTTTGTGTGGTACTTTGCTGGTGCTAGGGTACTATCCATGGGTAGGTGATGAGTGTTGGGAATACTGTGATGTCATTAATCTTTAAAAAAAAAAAAACTAAGAGAAGAAGGTAATGATTCAGGAGTTAAACGAAGATAACAGAAAGCTAAAGAGATAACTGGAATTCTGCGGAAAAGCATCTCTTTGGGATTGGGTGATGGGATCCTGCAAAAATAAAGGCTGAAACTTGAAAGCAATTCAGGCAAAATCAAGAGGGAAACTGTGGGTGAAGCCAGTGGTTTGCAGAGCACGTTAAGGCAATTTTGTCAAGTTTGGATCTTATTGTGTGGAGAACAGAGCGTCGCTGAAGGAGTTGAGGCTGAGGGAGTCAGAGGACACTGCACTGCAATAGGGTGTAGGGATGGATTGAGAAAACAGATTAGAACAAAGAGAGCTGCTCAACACCACGAAAATGAGCCAGGATAAAGGAGTAAGTGAGAAACATGAAGAAAGGCTAGGAGAACAGAAGAGGTCGGATTCCTGCAGCCACGCTTGTGAACAAAACAGAATGTAACCAGCCCAGTGGTTTCGTGACACCTACAGATACGGCAAAGAAATTTAATGACATCTACAAAGCAAAAGATGTTATTTTTGTTCACGTGTTCATTTTAGAAAATCCAGAAAGCACAGAAAAACATCAGAAAGTAAATAAAAATGATCTATAATCCACCAATCTGATCATTTTTATTAGTATTTGATTTTACATACGTATTTTTTAAAGAACTGGCATCACATGGTATAGACATTAAAAATCTTTTCTTTTCACTTACTGTTATAACATTGAGGATTATCCCCTCAATTAAAATGTAGTCAGAAGCAGGAAGAGACAAAATCAGATTCTCCCAGGTAGCCTTCAGAAGGGAGTGCCGCAATGCAGACACATTGCTTCTAAGATTTCTGACCTCCAGAACTGGGAGGAAATACATTTCTGTTGGTTTAAGTCCCCAAAATATTTTTTTCTTCCCCAGCCCATCACTGATCCCCTTTGTCCTAGCCAAACCATCTATCCAATAAACAAATGCCATTGGAAACAAAGAAGCCTGAACATGAACATAAGGGTTTATCAGGGAAAAACCACCAATAACTCTTGTTATTGGGAAAATAACAAAGGTGCGTGCCATGTTGGCAGGGGTCTTGCAGCAGCATTTTACTATGAAGTCACCACATTTTCATCCAACACTCTTGTCGCCAAATCTATCCTATGACTGAGTATAAGTTTATTGTATTAGATCTGATTTGGAGTAACAGAAACCCCAGGCTTGGTTAAATTGTATGAAACCATTATGTACTTTTCCCAAGTCATCATATAGATGAATCTTAACACTCAATGAAAACCTGAGGTTGCCACACCAAATTGACATGGTACCCTTTCTCTGTGCCAATTATAAGAAACAATTTTCTTCATGACCCTGATATTTTGGCAAAATTACTAACCACTTTAAAACAAGGAATGTGAGGTAAAGATTTGTATTAATTTCTGAAAAACTGACCTTACTACGTGATTTCTGCCCAACATCTGCCAAACATCTTTTTGATCAACATTCCAACACTGCCAAGTTCTTTGCTTTTTTAGATTTAAGTACAAGAAAATTCAGTCAACGCAATTTAGGGAGAAATTACTCTAACACCAGCACCTCAACATAATAAAACACTTTAAGAAATAATCTGTAATCAGCCTAAAAAGTACCCAATGACACAGATAAAATGAAAGTAAAAATAAAACCAAATTATATATTTAGCTTATTTCCCAAAAAGAAATTCCTATTTTGAAAATTCAATGACCAAAAAGACATTATTTCTACCTACTACTAGATTTTAAAAGAGCTCAAATTTCAAACAACTGATAAGTTTAATCATTACTAATATATTAATAAAGTGTAAACTACCAAAGGTGTTTCAGAGAATACTGCCTAGTCTAAAATTAGAGGCAAATTCTAGGAATCATTTTGTTAATTGCATAAAGATGTAAGAAATAATCTAATACCCTCTACATAAGCCTTATAACTCTCAGGTCCCAGAAAGATTTTGACAACCGGTTTTCCTTGATAGGAACAACTTGCACAGCAATACACATGTATAGCATACTAGTCAGAAAGCCAGATGTGTTATCTCTTACACAGTTGGCTAGTCAAATCTTAAAATTATTTTTTTCTCAAAGTTTTAAATATTACCCAAAACAGAAGTCTGTCCTGTCCAAGTTCTAAAAAACTTCCAAACTTAAAGAGCTGCAGAAAATTCTCCTAAGTCCTAGACTGCTCAATCTATACAGTTGTAACCAAGTAAGTGTTTTTGTAGCAGTTACTTCAGTGTAAGCTTTAGAAGCTGGGATAAAATGTCCAGGAAGATAAAAGAAACTTATTTTAAAAATAGGGAAAAAAATTACTTGGATTCTATAATGTGGCTCAGAGAGAGTAAATTACCCTGATGATCTATGAAATAAACTATTTTCTCTTGATGATTGGACTCTTTTCCCCATCAGTTCAATCACCACCAGAAACTACAAGACACATTTTTTTTCCACTCTTGCCATTATGTGTATATACATTTTGTTTGTGTGTGCTGTTTACTGGAGTCCTCAGCTAAGACTTTCAAAGGGTTTTGAGGACAAATTGCTGATCGCTGGGTGGGCGGGAAAAGGATCCAGGGTGGTGGTTTTGTATAATGCTGAGCACATTAATGGGACTCACTAAAAACCGTATTTATTTTACTTGTGGCTTTCAGGGTTAGACAAAAGAGGTTAGGAGTTTTTCCAAATCAAAACATAAACCCAAACCAGGGAATTAGGGCAAAATTACCTGGATCATTCAGGCCAACTTACTCACTTTTCCTGAAATTTTAACATTATAAACCCTCTCTCTTCACCTCTTGTTCAACTTGGATTCTGAAATCTTCCTAACTGTCCTCTTATTTTAAAAATAACCAATACCTTGCTAAGACTACGAACACTTCCTTGAGTCACATGCCATTCCCACCTGAATGGGAACAGTCAAGGCAACAGGACAGGGAAAAGGCAGTGACTGTACTGTGATCGCCTGTGATTCTAATTGGACACAACCTCACAGGTACAACACCTCAAGTACTGTCAGCCGTTAGACTGAGAAAGGTCAAGCAGAAAAATGTGACTTTTCTCTATTTAACTTTGTCAAGTAGGTTATGATTGGGAATACACAAACCTCTTTTGCTACCTACACCAAAAGAAAAAAAAAAGAAAAAAAATTGGTTTGCCTGATTTAACTTTTTTCCATTTACAAGTTTTCTCAATTGGGTGAACACACAGAAAGATGGTTTCATACAATATAGTCCCACCCTTAGAAGTAAACAGACTGCCAACCCAATTGAAATAGAAAGGTTTCTAAAGCAAGTATTACAGTGATGTGTTAGGTGAATTAGTTAAATGTAGCAATTCCAAAACAAGGCAAACTTTTCACCGTTTCTTAAATTTTACTTCAAAGGTAGGGAAAATAAATAGCAAAGCAACCAGTAAGGTTCAAGAAAAAGTGGAACTTGAAATGTGAACCTTCATCTCTTTGAAAAAGAAAATGTCTTTACTATTCCTTCACTTGTAGTTAAACACAAGAATGTAAACAACACTTTTCAAATTAACAGTTTATAATCAAATAGGCAATTTCCTCCAGTGAGAAGGCAAGTTTTGGCTTGCAGCAATTCACTTAGGTCACACTACCATACAATTGTGTTAAGATTCAAATCTGGTGCTAATTTTGCATACTCTTAGAGGTCTCTCCTCTAGCTTCCCCATTTAAATATGCCCATTTTACAAGTGGACAATGTGCGGATGGCTTATAGGCATTTATTAAATCCTCCACAAAGTTTGACTTCACTATCAGAATTTTAGATTACACACAACACAATATCTCAGTACTAGTAATCTTAACACCCTAAAGGCTTTAGAAGTTTAGCATCAGTTTACCTTTCTGTTAACCTTATCTATTAGGATGAATACCTGTAAGAATGCTTTATAGGTCCTATCTAGATACATACTTGCTTGCATCTACACGCACTCTAAAGTTCTTTTTAGAATGTTTACGAACTCAAGTAGGTGGGCTCTTAAAAAGTAGGCGAAACGTATTGCTTCTTGGACCCCCGATACTGTACCTGCAGGAACAGAAGCATCCCATACGATACCACAAGTATATTGACACGATTCTGAAACCTGTGTTCCGGAGTCCCCTCCCACCCTTACTGAATTTTCTATCAAAGAAGCGCTGCGCAGCCGCAACCTTTTCATCGTTATTAGGGACCCACCACAAGAAATTTAGGCTCAGAAGTCAGAGTCCTATTTAAAATAGCTTCGATGAGCACTTGGTGAATTGTAAACTTTTAAGCTTTTTTTGCCCCCCTACTCCTCGGCGCCGCGTCGCCCTAAATTTACAAAAACCTAATCAGCCCAGGTTCGGGGTCTCTGACTCATCAGAGAAGAATGTGGCTCAGGAGTTATCTATTAATCCAAAATGCCTCCGCTGGAAAGATATTTCACCCAGAACTTTCAGCGCTGAGAGGGAGGGGGCAGGGCGCAGAAGGTATCTCTGAAGACGAACTTTCCCCGAGTTCTTCCTTAAACCGCACACACACGCACCCCCCACCGCCGCGCACCCCGCCGCTCCCCGCGCCGCACGCAGGGCTGGGTCCTGACCCTCCGCGTCCCCGGGACCTGAGGTCACTCCGGAGTCAGTTTTCGATTCCGCTTTTAAAAATCTCGGGGAAACAAAGCTGAGCGTTATGCTTCCGAAAAGTCTCCGAAAAGTCCGCAAAGTTACGCAATGGGAGGCACGCACCCACAACAACACACTCTTCGCGGATACACCCTCCCGGGGCCACGGTCCGGGGCCGCTCCCCACCCCGGCCCGCCGGCCGCTCCCGCACGGGGGAGGAAGCCCGCGCGGCCGGCGCCCCGGGTCGCCCCGAGCCCCTCCGTACCTCTTCCTCCTGAAGGTTGGCCTCGCTCGCGGTGTTCTCCTTCTCGGCTTTGACGCCGTTGTTCATCTTCCCGGTGCTCCCTCGCCGGGCAGGCTGGGCGCGGGGCGCTCGCCCACTCTTCCCTTCCCCGGGCGCGGCGGGCTGTGCCGGGCAGCGGCGGCGGGCGCCTCAGGAAGTGCGCGGGGGACTCCGGGCAGGGCGAGGCGCCGGCTGACCGAGCGGGGACCGAGGCCACCGGGACCCGGGCGGGAGACCTGGAGAGCGAGGGCGGGCGCGAGGGAAGGAAGGAAGAAAGGATGGGGCGAGGACGCGCGTTCCAGGAGGGACCCCCGAGAGTTGGGGAGGTGGCCGAGTAGGGGCTGGGGGGGGGCCGCAGCCCGAGCCTAGCAGCTACTGAAAGGCGGGGGCGAGGGGCGCCCAGGGAGGAGGAGGAGGAGGAGGAGGAGGAGCGGGGCGGCGGGGAGCGGGCCGCGGCTGGGACGCTGGGACGCAGGGACCCGAGAGCCGCTGAGTGCGCGCTCCAGGCAGGCTCTGGGAAGTCCGGATCCAAGCAGCTCCCTTTCTCTCGCCTTCCTCCCTCCCCTCCCCACTCCCTCCTCCCCTCCCCTCCCGCTCCTCCTCCTGCCTCCGCCCTCCCCGGACAGGGCAGTTGGTTGTCGCCGGGAGGGACGGGATGCGGACGGCGAAGCCCCCCGCGAAAGGAGGGGCTGGGAGGGGCTACGGGCTGTGGGGGACGCAGCCGACCCCCTGTCCCCGGCTCCGCGGTAGGTCGGAGGGTGAGGGCCGCTGAAGGGGAGGGATGGTCAGGTCCTCAGGGTTCGCCTGCTTCGGGGCGCCCCGACGGCCGTGCGGGGCCCCGAGTGGGTGAACTGGCGGGGCGCGTCAGTTGGGTGCGGGGCTCCGGAGAGCCAGGCCCTGTCCGTGCGACCCCCTCCAAGTGTGAGGTGCGACTTTTGTTTGCGGGCTTCTCACGAGGGATCTGCACCCCCTGTCCCGAAGCCTGCCCCTCCTTTTCAGGACGGGATTAGACCCATTCCTTCCCTTCCTAGCCGGCAGCTGGAAATGACAGGATGCGAGAACGCGAGTGACATCCGGGGGCGGCCCGCGTGGGCGTTTGGAGGCGCAGCTCCCAGCCGCCTCCCACGCCGGGTCCTGCGAAACCGCCGCCGTGGCTCTCCGCCGGGCTCCCCGGGCCCCTGTGCAGACCCCCTCGCAGCCCGCCCCAGGCTGTTCTGGGATTTATCTGTTTACCTGGCTGGCTTTCTCACTCTTTTGAGAGCTCCCCCCTGGACGACGAGACTGTAACCTGTTTATCTTTTAGTCTCACGGCTTTTAAAATGCGCTCCCTGGTATACAGTAGACACTGGACAAATATGTGTTCCCTTGCAAGCCCAACTGGAGGCCAGTACAGACCTTCAGAGAGAGGGTCGGAGCCCCTGAAAGAAAGGGCTGGCCTTCTGGAGGTCGGAGCGCGAGGCTTGTTTACGCACCAGCCTCGGGAGCACCGCTTCGTTTCCTTTCCTCACCTGCGAAGTGGGTGTAGTGATGTTTATCTCCCAGCAGTTTGCAGTTAGAGTCGATTATAGTTTGGTAGATAGAGCGATAGCACCTAGCACGCATTCTTACCCAGTTTAAGTTTACAATACATGGAAGTTAACATTGTTATTAACATTGTTCCATTTATTCCTGGGCCACGGGGAGCTTTTCCAGTACTGTATCATTTAAGCTTTTCAAACGTGACTGCTACACACACACACATTGAAAACTCCATACAGCAGTAGGTTCTGGTTCACTTCCCGCCCCCAGGAATTCCCCCTCCCAGCGTGCCGTTCCTTTAGCACAGCAACAATCACCATTGCTAATTATTTATTTGCTTACTTCACTGTTTATCTCCCCATCCCACCCCCACCCCGGCGGACAGTCTTTAGGAACTGGTTTGAGCGCTGCTGGACAGGGGAGAGGGCAGCGGTGGGAATTGAAGATAAGGCTTCCGTGTTGGGGAGTTCAAAGCGGTGTTGTGGCGACAAGATACCCCAAACAACTCCACGGCAACATAATCGCACATCCTGGTTTAAATTGCGGAAAGCAAAGAAAATACCTGCTTTAAGAGCATAGTGAAGAGAAAACCAGTAGTGATACTTGGATTTTTCTTGGTGGTGAGGGGGGTCTGAAGATTTTGATGCGGAGGTTTAATGGCTGGCATGATGTCATTTCTCTCTCTGGGAAAAGAAAGGTGTGTCCTGGATAAAAATGAACCCAGGGTCCTCAAATAGCAATAGAAGTTCGGAGGAGGCAATTAATCTGGAAACTTGGACAGCCGGTCCCACTTCCAGCTCCTCACTCTGGTATAGGAGGAGCCACGAGGGGGCACTGTGTTCCCGAGCAATGGCCGAGTGGTGGTCTTGGGCTCCTGTGCTGACCAGTAATGCCAGCACTTTACCCTCCTTGCCCTTTCTTGCCTTTTACTGAATACGCTTCACAGAAAGGCATTGTGTTGCTGCAGCCTGGCAAAGGCCCAAGAAAAATGACAGTTGATCTAGTCATTGATGGTTCCAGTCAGACTCTGTATAAGTATGTGGAAGGTGTGTGATTCCAGGATGCTGGGAGAACCTCCCCTACCCCGACTCAGGGGAAATGTGGCTTCATTCCA